AAGGGGGAACAGGCATTTGCATCGAGGCCTAATATTAATGGGGTGCTACCTGCAATAGTAGCAGCGAATCCATAAACCCAATGTAATCATCCAGTTCTTGATTGAATTTGCAGTAGAGACTTGCTACAAGCAACCTCCCATGCGGGCCTTCCACGGACGCACAAACACAATGGTTACTGGTTTTAACAAAGGTGTCGTCCACATTCACATCATTAGTTACGACGGCAGAGTGGTTACTGGAGTCAAGAAAAACCCGCATTTTATCAGCGCCACTGTGCTGCCTAACTCACTCATACTCTGACCAAGCTCACACGCCGCGTGATAACCGCGGTTGCAATTATATTGCAGTATGAGCAAAGCCATATTAGTGCCTAGCCGCTGCCTGCGAGATCACCCTGTTATAGTCAAGACAGGCACGGGACATCATAAGTTGACAAGCAGGAAGTCCCCGGAACTCATAGAGCCGGTGGCCTGTTTGGCCACAGCGTCTACAGACAACGCCCTGAACTCTACACTCCCTCACCCTCTGGTCAAAGCTCAGACAACGACAGAATACGGGCACGTCATCGTATTGACGCGCCACAAAGGAATGGTAGTCAATGTATCCATAGCCTGAGGGAAACCCTCAAGAACGACGTTGGCCGATTGACCCTCTTTACCCATGGCTTCGAAACCATCCGGACAAACTTTCTAAATTCCTCGGGAGAGTATAAACCTTTAAAGTTAATCTCATACAAGCCCGCCATAAAAGCAGACGGATCGAGCATTTTATGCACGGACTGACATACCACCTTCGAGCCCAGCTTCTCTTCAACTGAGAAATTGAGCCCGACTTTCCCGAATTTCGTGTTCGCCACGATCTTCGTTCTCTCCGCAGCAGATGGAATACTGATAATCGCTCCACCTCCTCCTTCACACCGTGTACACGAATATCCAGCGCTGGCTTTGGCGGTGCCTTACTCAAGCAAGTGGCGGATTTAAAACATCCGCCGCCCTTTTCTAATTCCTCGATGCGGCCTCATACTCGTCGTTAACACTCAAAATCTCCCCGGCAGCCTCTAAAGAAACGCTGTCCGGCGAAAGAACGCATTTCTGCAGGCGAGTAGCTATCGCCTTCATCTTGCTCACCGAACCTGCAGCAACACTCCGCTTCTCCACACACACTGGCCTCCTAGCGGTGGAAGCTCCCGCGCCCACTACAAGGGCGGAGGCAGCGGGTGCAGTCACAGTGCCGGTTTTCGCCTTGCGCCTCTTCACCGACCGAGAATTGGAAACCGTAGGCATCGAATCACTACAGCGAATATTCCCTTCAACCGCGGTATCGCTATCCGACACATCGGACGGACTTTGGTTGCGTTTTGCACCACCTCCTTTTCGTGGTCCAGCCTTCCGGCCACCCTTCGCCACCAGCAACCCTTCATCGGAGAACGTAATTTCCTCAGACAGCCCCCCAACACTCTTCGGGACAGGGTTCTTCTTGCCCTTCCCCATGGTGCACTAGTTGTGAGGTATGCTCAAATACCTCAATCAGTGTACTATTGCAGTGTATAAGGAGAAGTGATTTATTTAACAGTATATATAATAATATATATATGTAAAAGACACCCACCCCAATTGGACAGTATTGCAGCCGACCCCGCGCCACCAAGTGTATACAGTCGCTCCCAACAGGTTACCAGCAGCAAAACAAAAAGCGAAGAGCGCCACCAATTAATAATAAAAATTTCATTTCCATTTTGTCATGTCTTATTATGTACACAACCAATGGGAATTAAACAAAATGTTTCTTCTTATGTTGTGCACTTTAGGGTCCCTTATAGAATTTAGTAATTGGTTTGTGCGCACATACACACAAACAAATGATATGATGAATAAACACTTTTAAATGCTTTTTTAATTGTTTATATACAATAATTTATATCAATACTTGATTTGTCAATTCAATCCATCAGTTTGTTATGAATATCACTAATTTACACCAGTCTTCACACTGATTTAGCCAATTATAAAGTTAACACTCGCAAGCATACGTCTTTATGCTATGAAAACAAAACATAAACCAAAGTGAAAGTGTGACAGTCAAACCGAAAAGTAAATGGCGTCCCACTCCAATGGACACAGTAGAAGTGGAAAAATGGGGTTCACGTAAATTGAAATTATCCGTTAAAGATATAATGATAATTGCTGAGAAGTTTTTTACTAAGGGGCTTATAAGCTATACGCGTACCGAGACAAACATGTTTTCAAAGGATATAAATTTAATGTCCCTCTTCTTCTGGGAAGGGCATATTTTTCTTCTAATTTGTACTTTTGTTAAAGGTCAGTTGTTGAGCAATAAGTCGAACATACGGTTCGGGGAACGTGCAATGTGTAAAGGAATGGAACCCTAATCCTAGAAATGGTATAAAATCGGATCAGGCGCATTTTAACATTTATACTGGTAAATCTCTATTTTTATATTATTAAAGAGAACAAAAATATGAACATCTAATGGCCCCGTAAACTTACATAGAACGATTTTCTTATTCGATTTAAATTTGTTTATTAATCAATTATTAATTTTTTACTCAATTATTAAATTTATTTTTACATTGGTTTGCATTAATTTAGATTAATTCGATTGCCCGATTCCTCTATAGAATATTTTTATTGAAGTTTGTCAGTATTATTTTTTTTTTACAATATTTTGCTATCTTTTGGATAATTTTTCAATTGAAATCACTTCTTTAAAAACAAAACTACTTTCCAAAATTTTTTCCCAATTTTTTTTATATATATTCTTTTATTTAACAATTTGCGTGTGTATAAAATTTTGACTATCAGTTCTAGCTGATAAATAAAATAAAATTTTTGTTCTAACAAATCAAAAACAGTTATAAGTAATATAGATATGTGGTCAGATGTTGCGCGTCCAATTCAAGTCGAAGATGAGGAGCCTAAAATTGCTTCTAAAACTGCTTCCAAGCCGATTGGCGTTCTTTTAGGTTAGGCGTTCTTTTTAGTTTGAATAAATGAGACATACTTTGAAATTCTATTTCTTCACACTTTTCGAGATTATAATTCGTGTGGCTGAAAGCAATTCTTGGATAGAAGCAATTTTACAAACCGAACCACATAGAAAAGGAGCAAAGCCTAAAGTGCTACAAAGTGATATGAAGGATGAACATAAAGATGGGCAAATTGTTAGTAATGAATGCTTTGCAAATACCATTGGTCCCGCTAATCGAGAGAACAGTGATAGTAATTAATATTTGATCCTGTACCGGTTTTGAGTAAGGCTCTATGCTACTTGTGTACACGCTTTTTTTTCCTTCTTATTTGTTTTATTGTACTTATACTAAGTTTTAATATTAATTAATTTAAGATTTACTCTAGAGTCAATTGAACTCGACTATCAAAATTTTTAGTTGAGTTTCTTGTATAAGCGGAATAAATAAATAAATAAAAATAAAACAAGAAAGTTTTAATAGTTTTGTGTGCATCACAAAGGCGTTTTGATATTTTTGACTTTTGTTATCACACCTTGAGAGTGGAACGTGCCGATCAGATGAACATGTCGAAGGGATTGTAAGTCTTAGACTTTTAACAGTTACTTAATTTTCTGTACTTATTGAATTATTTACACTTAATTTTCATTAAAATTATGCAGAAACTTAAACGTATGGTAGACTGTATGACACGCTAAGCATTGAACTCGCAGATTTTCGCTATAATTAACAAATATCTGAAAGGTAGTGAGTTTTAAGGATTCAATAAGGAAGCGTGCTTTTCACCGCCGCAATATTATTATTAAAAAAACCAATTGTAATACATTGTTTTTTATATTTCAATATTATTTGATATTTATGATAAAAATAATTTGTTAAACAAATACAGTCAGTGCAATCTTAAATTTTCGAAACTATTCGATTTCATTTTGATACACGCAACAGAGGCCTCTTGCTTAGATATTATTGATTATTCTAAAAATAAGGGACAATGTTTTAGATAATTGTCAACTTTGTTTAAATTATAAATCATACGCATTGAAATCTATATGAGAAAAGCCAGGCTAGATTTGCAGAGGTCAAATAAGCGCTGTCGTCTTAGTTTATAAATCGATTTTTTCACATCTTATTAAATAAATTTTCGGCTTTGGTTTTATGTGGAAGGTGTGGTTATGATGTTGAATTCCGCTATTTCTTCCATGTGTTTACAATTGTTTAAGACTGTTGAATTCCGCTATTTTTTCAAAGTGTTTCAGACTGTTTAAGACTGTTTAAGACTGTTTAACAAGGTTTTACATGGTTTCGATGTTGAATTCCGCTATTTTTCCAAGTGCTTTAATAAGGTTTTATAAGCTCTTAAACATAGACGTGCCTTCGTCAAACGTCATTACCGCTTTTAGCTGCTTTATTCATGGTGGTTTACCATAAGCACATATTCGCGGAGACGGCAACAAAATACATCTTTAATCCTTACCACTTATTACCACAGTATCGGTGCATACATGTTTAACATATTATATTTAAAGAAGAAGACCTCATCTTCTCTTCTAATAACATTTGGTTGTTAGTTGTATTCTTAGTAACATATATGTAAATAAATCGAGAATATATTTCAATTGTTGTATTTGTATTTTCCGGAAATGCACCACATAAACGCAACGTTTTGCTCTCCACAATATCTCTTAGGAACTGTGGCATATCTGACAGTTCAACTCTTCCATTCATAACCGCAGAATCGTTATCCAAACGTATGACGTATTTCTTGCTAATTGGGTTTTGATGTAATTTACCTTTGAAACTTGAATTCAGAATATCAATCAAACATTGTGAATTTCCGGTCTGCTCATTTAGTTTTTCCATTATATTTCCGAATGTTGTAACATCCTTTATTTTCCATCATTTCTTTAAAGTATGTTTTAATCTCAGTCGTTCTGGTACCTGTGCGATCAATGTCGACAGTGCTCTCGAAATACTTGAATTGATAAAACTTAAGCTCAAGTTTTATTATTTGCATTAATATCGGCACGATGTTTGGAAATGATTCAACAATTGAATCGTTTGTTTTAACTGTTTCAATATCTCGGATACACGACGTAAATCGGCCATTGATTCGTTTGCAGTCTGTTCAAATACGTCTAAAGCGTTTGAATTGATAAAAATACTTTGTTGAAGTGAAAATAATAAAAGCAAATGCTTTTCGCCTATAAAAAAGGCACTACCGTTCACTGATACACTTCAACTAAGTTTCGTGTCTCCAGATACGTAAGAATTTTAAAGCTTTTAACAGTATCGTCGAATAGACGCCTTTACGCTTAAAAAAGATGCATTGAAAAGTAAAACGTTCAAAGCAAAGCTTAAAACAAAGAAGTATATTATTTACAGCTCGTACTGACTTCTTTGACACTAGTTCCAACCAAGAAGGAAGAAGATTTCCTAATTAACTATGATGGTGGTTACGGAGAGATATAAAGTTTTAATAACATACAGTTTACTATTTGTGATATTTGTTGCTTTATTAAATTATGCTATATATGAGAAACGATTTAATGCACATGTACGCAATTAGACGACGAAAGGAATTACCTTCACCAAGCAAAGAAAACGTTTAATATGCGTTGTTTTGCTGTTGGTCATAGGTCAAATTCTCGAAATATTTCAGATAAGCTAACAAAAGTGGACCGAAACAGTTTAGCGTCGGAGAAGATTGAAGGTTATAAACAAAATATTCTACCAACTTCTTAATTAATACGAAATCAAACTTTTCCGGTGTGGACAGAGAGGAAGCATATCAGCACCAAATTAATTTACCGCCCACCGCTTCCACCTTTGACGCAAGACGATTTTTATATATGGCATGAAAATCGGGCTGTCAAGCCCATAATAACTGCGGTTAGTGCTATTCAAAATCCAGAACAAAATGTTGAATAATTGCAATCACAGCCTACCATAAAACCGCTAAAAAACTTTTCCAAAAACAAAAACTTCTTTGTAATCGATTAAATGCAGCCAGACGAAGAAACTGAGTTTCTTAAATTTGAATGTTTGATGTGAGGAACTGTAATAATGCCAATAGTTTACTTGCTTTACTGAACATAGCATTATATCCGCTGCAGTAGTAAATTCCGAAAAATTTGTCAATGGAATTCAAGCAGCATTAGAGTCAGATTTATTATAAAACATGGAGAAATTTTTACCAATCACACTTAGGAAAATTTAAAAAGGAAAAATTAGATAATTCATTCGATGCTAAGGGGATTCTCACTCCCTGGAAATTTAAAGAAGAAGAAGGTTCAAGGATTAAAAACGAAACTATGGATTATTCTAGTGATGGAAGCGCTTGTTTTACAATACGAAAAAGTAAAAAGCACAAGAGTTCCCAAAAAGCTTTGAATTTTTCTGCAGATGACACAGATTTTTCCCCGTGGCGAAGAATTAAGAAGCCCAAGTTGACGGGTCTTAGCCGAATGAAAAGCGGTAGTGAATGTGGTCCTATTTTGAAAAGTCGATATATGAACGGGGCTGGAGCAAGCCATTCAATGGTGTTTCGTGTCTCTGGTATTATAAAAATAAAAATAAATTTGATTTGTAATTTTAAATTGTATTAGTTATTATTTTTATATATTTGATTATATAATTTTCTATATTATTTTAATATTTATTTATGTTTTATGCATAATTCGTCTAACTAGCTCATTCACTTCTCCTTTAATTTACCAGAAGTCGAAGTTAGATTCTTGAATCCAAAAACCTGATAACAAAGCAACAAGTTGGTTTCAAGCGGGGTAGAGGGTGCATCGACGCACTGTTACATATTGATTATTTTACAAGCAAAGCAATTTCCGAACGAAATCATGTAACAATTCTCTCAATTGATTTCGAAAAAGCATTTGACAGAGTTGGTCTTCATGTTATTTTAAGACTCTTGAAATCATGGAATGTTGGACCCAAATTTTTTAACTACATCAAATCATTCATCGCATCGGCGGTTTAAAGTTAGAATCAAAAATCACCTCTCTGAATCCTTTCCGCTAATGAATGGCATTCCGCAAGGATCTCCTCTTTCTGTCACGCTTTTCTAGATCGCCTTCAACGAAATTAACAAATTTCTTTCCCGTGTACCAAGAGTGGAGCATTGTCTCTACGCAGACGATGTATCAATTTTTACAAAAGAAAAAGATAGCACGAAGGCAATCAACATCCTCGAATCTATTGGACGAGAGATCTCCGCATGGGCAAACTCGTCAGGGGTTAAACTTTCCATACAAAAATCTAAAAAAATGCACATATGTCGAAAGCAGATATGCGATGCAGGAAATCTACTGATGCATATTAATGACTTACCAGTACTAAACGTGCAGACATATTCTCGGGCTAATGTTTTCCAAAAAATATCGTTGGAAAGCACACTGTCTTCAGTTAAAAACTTCTATTTTAACAAGGGTGAATTTCTTACAGTACGTTGCTTGGAGAAGCCACACTACTGCTTATCTTACCAAAATGCTTGTGTTAAGCAAGATTGACTATGCTTTGATAATTTATGGCAATAGCTGCAAATCTAATATCAACATCCTTAAACCGCTCTATCACTAAGCCGTCAGAGCAAGTAGTTATGCTTTTCGGACCACGCCTATAAACAATATTATAATTGAAACTGGTCTCCCAACTGTAGAAAATAGACTTTATGAGTTAAAAGCTAAAATAGTCCCCAAGCTTCTTAATTCAAACAAATCTATTCTCGGTGATGACGTGAGAAAGATTATTATTGCGAAGAAAATCCCAAAGTTACCATCTGCAATTGACTATTGTTTGTACGAGGCAAAGGAATTCAACATTCCCTTGAAAATGTTCGGCTCTTTTGGTGTTAAACCTCCATTGATTTTGAAAGACTGCTCTTTTGACATCTCGCTGTCCATGCACAAGAAAGAAGATACTGTAACGTTTCGGGAATTCAACCTATGCACGGATGTTGTTGTTTAATTTTTACCATTTTTTTGGATGTTTTCCGGCCTGGCTCGTCGGATGGGGGTGTCAAAATATAAGGTATTCAGATACGTGATAGGTTCTTGCCTCGCTACAATATTCCATTATTTTAAATAAAACAAGTTTACTATGAAATTTTGAAAACTTTTGACTAATTTAATCCATGCCCTGACCACATTGCTTCTACCTCGCCTCTCTGCCATCCACAGGAAGTAAAAAGCGACCGACTCGCTGCCATTATCCAGAACTTTTTTTTCTTTCGCGCCGCTTGTCGCTTTTTCAAAGTTGCCAAAGTTTTTCTTTTCTTCCTTTTTTTCCCCCACTACAGTGCCTCTTACAATCCCCCCACGAAGAATCAGCTTTGGGCAACGGAACTTTGCCACAAAGATGATCTTCACTGTCGTATATCTTTTGCGTGATAGGTCCCAATATATTTACCTCCTAAATTCTCCAGTTCATAGTATGAATTACCTAACTTTTTCCTTACCCTTGCTTTTAAAAATATAGGAGAGAATTTAGATCATTGTCCTTTTTCAAAATTAGACTGTCTAAAATTCCTTCTGAATACCTCTGGTCCTTCCCTATAAGTTATTACCTTAGTTCGCAGATTGTAATTTTTCTCATTCTTGTTAAACTGCTTTTCGATATGACTACAAGCTTGTTTCCGGATGATGGTTAAGGAATCCTCCTTGGAGAAATTTGCCGTCCCGTCTTCCATTAGTTTCGCTTGTTTAATTACTGCATAACTGTTTGCGTTGGTAATCATATGTTGACCAAATGTGATATAATAAGGTTCAGTCCCAATCGCAGAGTGAGCGCTTGATCGCAATGCGCAAGCGACTTGGCTAAGCATTTCATCCCAATTTTTTTGATCAACGTTGACATAAGCTCTAATTGTGGCAATAACCGTTCGATTAACACGTTTCGATGCGTTAGCTTGAGGCGAATGAACAGCGGTAAAAGTGTGAGTAATATTATTCTTATTAATCAATTCTTTAAATTGATTAGACTTAAATTGTACACCGTTATCTGATACGATAATTTCGGGCACTTCAAAAACGTGAAAGATTTCTTCTTCTAAAAATTTGCATATTGCGTCTGTGGTTAGTTATTTTACAGCCTTTAGGAAAGGAAATTTCGATAAGTGGTCTACAACCACAAATATCACAATATTACCTGTCCTACTACGGGGATAAGGACCTAGAAAATCGATGTACAGTTTTTGAAAAATCTTGTGGGTCATAGTAGTTTTGCCCATGGGTGGTCGTAAAATATAATTAGGGTGTTTTGTCATTTTATCGCACCCATTTATATGATTTTTTACGTCAATAACCAAGCTAGGCCAATAGTAAAGTCGACGAATTCGTTCTATCGTTTTGAATATTCTTAAATGTGAAGACAGTCGATCATTGTTTGCCTTGTAAATAATCTCACTAATCATCGTATTTGGAATCCATAACTTCCAACATAAATCGTCATGTAATTGCTCACCTACTTCGTGTTGAGTTCGCTTGTACACAAATCCATCTAGTATCTTTACATCCGGCAGTTTATTAGCATTTCCTTCAATGCCCTGAATTGGAGCTCGGTAATCTTCTGTTTTAAAATGAGGTGAGTTTAGATCCACAAACAGTCCAATATCCTCAGCTGTTAAGCTATTTCCATCACAATCTTGTGGAATATCATCTACTGAGTCTGCTGAATTCTCATCGTCTGAATTAATCCGGGAGGTTACGTCGGGAACGACGTGCTGACTGCCTTTTCGATGACAAATTTAAAATTTAAAAGCCTGTAGTTTTAAAGCCCATCTTGCTAATCGAGAGTTTAAATCCATTTGAGACATAAGCCACTTTAGGGATGCGTGATCGGTAACTATCGTAAATTCATGGCCTTCGATATATGCCCTAAATTTTTTAACACTAAGAATGGCAGCTAAACACTCCTGTTCCGTAACCGAGTAATTCCTTTGAGCTTTATTTAGCTTCCTGGACATAAATGCAATAGGTACTTCATCGCCTTCAGCATTTAGTTGAACTAGTACGCTCCCAACCCAGGTGTGGCTAGCGTCACAATGAATTAAAAAGGGCTTGGTAAAATCCGCACTATGTAAGACAGGTGCAGAACTAAATAAACATTTTAAATCTTGAAATGCCTTTTGAGCTGTATCATTCCGCGCGAATCTCTTCTTGTTCTTAGTCAGATCAGTTAATGGAGCGCTAATAGTTGCATAGTTTTCGATAAATTTTCTGTACCACCCACTCATGCCGAGGAATCTACGAATTCCTTTTACAGTTTTAGGAACAGGATAATTTGTAATTGCAGAAATTTTATCTGGCTCCGTGCGAATAATACCTTTACCAATTATGTGTCCTAAATATTTAACTTCTTCCACACAGAACTTACTCTTCTCAACATTTAAGGTCAAACCGGCATTCCTAATCAATTTCGCTAGTAGAGTCAGAAGATCATCTAAATACACAAGTATTTCATTTTTTAGATGAGCTGGTACCACTTTATCCAGTAACCTGGACATGGTTTGAGGAGCATTACAAAGCCTAAATGGCATAACAATGAATTGATGCAATGGTCTTCTTGGAACGATAAACGCTGTTTTGTCTGTGGAATAATTATCTAGAGGTATTTGCCAAAAGGCGTCTTTGAGATCAAGTGTAGTGATAAAAGAGGCTTTAGCTAATCTGCTAAGTATGCCGTCTATATGAAGCAAAGGATAAGCATCGTTAACAGTGACTTCATTCACCTTCCTACTATCTAAACATAACCGATTTTTCCTAGGCTTACGCACTAAAACGCAGGGCGAACTCCACGCACTGTTAGACTTCTCTATTACGCCCACTTTCAACATTCGATCAACCTCTTCATACATCATTTTTTCAATTGCAGGTGATACGGGGTAATGACTCTGCTTAATTGGCTTAGCACTTCCAACGTCAATCGCGTGACTAAGAATATTTGTACTTCCTGAGCCTTCTTTAGCAAATGAAGGATATATTTTAATAACGTTCTGTAATTGCTGCAGTTGTGAACTGCTTAGCTCACACGATGTGACCGGTTCTACCGGCTTAGGTAGACCAGTAGAAATTTCTGAAATACAACCTAAAGGCATTAAATCAAATAATTTCCAAAAATCATACCCCAAGAATAAGTCTCTCGATAAAGATGGAACGACAAAAATTTGGATCTCCTTTTCAACACCAAGAAAAGAAATAACGGTTTTTACAAATCCAGAAATACTTTCAAACTTCAAAGGTTTGCCTGATTCTAAATAAGTTTTAGCCAATTTATCCCCAATACAAGTAATTGAAGCGCCAGAGTCTAGTAAACCACTGATACTCTTTCCAAATAGTATAACGTCAGCATAAGGACGAACATCATTGGGTCTTTCGCAAATAGATGACACAATGTTCCGTTAAATTTGTTTAACATTTTTCCAGAATAACTTTGTTCTCCTTTTCGATTTTTCTTTCCTTGCAGATATTTTATTTTTACCATCCATGTTTAACATTTGTACATGCAATGGATAAACGGGTGTGCCATCTGATGTTAATTTTTTAATAATTGCATTGATTGGTTTTGCTGTCGTGCACAGAAATGTGCACGTGAGGTGTCACGTTTTTTTAAGTTGAATTTTTGACATTTTGGCTTATATACATTTGGTATACCGCAATTATAACAGAAGATATTTCGCTCTGCCAAACAATCATGATAACGATGACCAGTCTCTTGACAATTCCAGCAGACTAGGCCAAGTTCGTCTAGTTTACCTGTACAGTTGTCCACACCTTGAGCACTATCTCCTTTATTTATTTCCGATACGCGTTTACTTTGAAAACTGGGTTTGTTCAAATTCTTTTTGGCCAAATTTTGCATAAATAATTCGCGTTTTCTGCAAATTTCCCGCAAATGTGCAACCGAATAGATTTGAAGATATAATATCTCCTGCTGT